ATATCAAAAGTGGCCAGAGTTGCAATTTGGCCTTTTTGACAACCCAGTGTACACATTCTTCATAAACATAAAGGCAATTTAGATCCATGGTTTGATGGCCAAATTTCTCCAATTGAGCCTAGAATTCCTGTGAAGATAAGCCTTAAACGAAATTTTCTAGGGTACCTGCAAATTTTAATATGCAGGATAATTAACATGAAGACTTGCTGTGATGAAGAGCAACAGGGCCTAAAATAAGCGTGGATCTGACTCACTTTGTGGAGTTGTAAATTAAAATTGTGGACCTGTAATTGTAGAAAGTGTGGATTTGTAAATAATGCGTTTTCTTAAAAGTGCAGCATAAAGAAATGCCTAAGAAAGAAATGGCAATATTTTTCCAATTCGCAACGAATGCCCAATCCCAGCCTTATGTATTGCACTCATTTTTTGTAAGAAAATTGCGATAAGAAATAAGCAATGGACAATAAAGAAGAATTAAGAAACTTCAGAGCTCGAAGCTTCAGTCATGCGGAGAAAAATCAATTGCGCTTTATGATAATGTTGTGTGCTATTTTGAAGTAAGATGAACTCTGTATACAGCTTTAACTTCACGACATCATCTCAATTTAGTTTGCTTTTATGACTTGCCTCAAAAAAGACACTGAGCCTTAAGACCAAGACCGAGATTATGATTTCCTGCCCGCAATGTATTTTGGGGTTTTTATGTGATATCTTTCAGTAGATGTCAGAAAAAGTTATAAAGCAATTCGTCTAAGGTGTTTTAAATTGGTAAAGCATTGGAAAAATTCCTCTCAAGGCTACAGTAGCTGAATGATGATAAGCCTCTCGGTGGTAGCTGGGAGGAACATTCAATTGGGAATGTTGCAAGACAGGGACTATAGTCCTCCCCAACTTTTTTGCAACAATAGGTTAGAAAATGTTTTGAAAGTTTACGCTAACGAACGCATTAGTAGCAGTTCTGCTGGGAACACGTTTTTGTTCTTTTTGATGGTGCTTTATCTTGTGTGGTCTGTTCTTGTGTGATGGTGCTTTATTTGTAATTTATCTAACTCGGTTTTGTATTTTTATGTTAATTGAAATCTTCCCTAAATGGTTATGTTTATGAATAGGGACAGAAAGAAGCAAAAATTTTCTGAAAGGAGCGTTTTCCGATATCTTAAATGGTCGTGGCCGCAAAAAATTAAGGGGCAAGCCTCCTGGTCCCGTTCCAACCACTCTCTTGTGAGCTGGTGCCAGTGTGACCTGATCTACTGTAATATTAGAATAATATTTGCCAAAAATCGTCATTTAGCATAAAATCTAGCATAATTTGGAATCTAGCATAACTCTAGCATAATTCTGATATTATTTAAAAGAATCATTGTTTTCATGGATCCATTGTCTATCGTTACCAAATGCAAACATTTTACACCAGCATTTGTGGTTTCATTTTGGGAGTAAATTGTGACTTTCCACCTGCAGGATTTTTTCAGTTGTTCTGAATGGTTGGCAGCCACATACTTTATGGTTGGCATCCAAACTCAGCCAGCTAAACGCAGTATACAAAAAAGCTAAATTTTTGCTAATTATTGGGAGTGATACCGTTATCAACATTTGCTTTGTAGGTTGAAAAAGTTTTCACTTGCTTTGATCAAAAACTGTCTGTTATCTTTTGCTTTGTTTCATCATTCATCATTTGCAATTTTGAAATTATTATAAAATTTTTTGAATATTATCTGTGCAAAAATTTTCATTTCCTTTGCATTTTTGTTGTTTTTTGTAACATGCTGCCAGAATTCAGCCAAATTTTTCGGCCAAATTAATATATGACGGCCAAGCGGTTTTGAGAAACTGCCAAAATGAAGCATAATTTTTTCTTCCATAATTCCATAAATGAGGATTTGAAATCTAGCATAATTTTTGCAAATCTAGCACAATCTTATGACGAATTTGGCGTAATTCCAAAATTGAGATCTGGTGCGTGGTTTCTGCATTACGAACAAGATGGGGGTAAAGATCATGCTTTCAAACTGGGCGAAAAGAGAATAAGAAGAAACAAGCACAATGTGTACATCAGTGAGAGAAGAGTTTATTTGCCATCTTTAACGAGGTTTTTGTTTCATAAGTATCAAAACTTTTTGAAGAACAGATTTGATGGCAAAGAATTTGATGGGCTGAATGCAGTTAAGAACTTTCCATAAGTAGAAGAGACTTGAGAAAGCTTCACCCAGCTTTTGTCCCGGACATCGCAGTAATCCCTAATTCTGTCGATGCTGAGAGGCTGATTCCCACCTACAACAAGATAGAAGCAGGTGGGGAAAGCAGCATAGCTCCAGAAATCTTATCAAATAGATAAATATTGCAATTAATATGCTTGATCTCGCAAGTTTCGAGTCCCGAGAAAAGCTGCAAAGATATGGTTCCAAAAAACCAAAAAATACCAAAGTCTGGGAAGCAAGGCTGATTTAAGGGAGTTTTTGAAGGTGAAAGAAAAAAATAACTTTGACAGAGATCTTAACAAACCATGTAAAAGAGTTTCTTTTCGATAACTTTTTGCTCACATATTGAGACATCGCAATATGTAGCTAATTTTCTTTTTAAAGGGCCTCTCCAGCCAAAAAAAATTTTTTTTTTATTGACTAAAAAGTTAGCATCTGGTGCGTGTATTATGGCAAAGTTGTCGTTTTTGCAAAGTTTCAATTAGTTTAGAAGTTATAAGGCTTTAAAGTTGCACCTTTCCGAGAAAAAAACGACAAAAGCCGAATCAGTTTTGTGACATTCTGACGTCACAGTGTGCGGCTCTCGTTCGTCATGAATTTCTTATATCTTCCACCGAATCGTGAAGGAGTCATGGTCACGCGTTGATAACTGCATCTAAATCTACAGCAGGTGCTTTTTAGGATCGAAAAATATTAAATGTTTACAATTATTCTAAGTTTGCGGGTCGGAATGTGTCCATGCTGTGTGACGACTTTGTTTTGATCACCTGTGTAGGCCTACAAAGCTACGGCTTCCTGTTCCAGCTCTTCCCTCGCGTATAATTAATCGAAATTGACACTTCAAGTTGTTTTCCAGAAACGATGAACAACTAAAGGCTTCAGAATTGATATCTGAAATGCTCAAACTAAAAGCCGGTGGAACAGAACTGAGAGCACCAACAATTGCAGTGTTCAATTTGCGAATCGCCGACGTTCGATTCGGTTTGAGGCGAGACTAACGAAATACACTGTGACGTCAAAATTGCGTCACAGTGTCACCAAACCGAAAATATTTTGTCGGTTAATTCAATTCAATTATCGAAATGCAAGAGCTTATATCTCACAAACTGTACAAAATGTCGAAAAACAAATAACGAATTCGTGATCAGCAGGTTCACCTCCTTTAGATTAGCCAATAAAAGGCAATTGCAAATTTTGGCTGGAGAGGCCCTTTAACCCAATCTATATGTTGTAAAGAATCAGCTTTTGCTACTTATACTTTATTCATTTAAGAATTTGCCCAATTAAGACATGCTATTTGCACTATGATGGCAGTTTCTATGTATATTTTCCACACCCATGATGCCAATCCCAGCAAAGTACCACGCCCAATTTTTATAGAAAATGTGGATCTGTAAAAATTTCTTATTTTAGGCCCTGACTCAACAGTTATTGCATAGCGACTCTTTCTAGCCACTGGGTGAAGAGTTTCTTTTGAGAACCAAACGACACTCCTTCAGGGCAAATTTTTGGTAAAATGAGTTACACACTTATCAGAATATTTAATTTCTTGCCGAGCCTCGATATTCTTAGAAAAAATTCGGTTCTTTGCCTAAGGTTATTCTTAATTATTCTTGGTGTAAATTCACATTCTTGGTGTATACACCTTGTGTACACCAAGAATGTGAATTCACATTCTTGGTATATACTGCTTTATAAACAATGACAAAACAAAACAGTAAATATGCTATTAAAATAAAAAATCTAGTCACTGAGTCACACTATAGAGTTCATTTTATTCACATGGCGGATGAGTGTATATTAAAACATATCTACTGCGTGAAAATGACAGTAGTTTTGCTTTGCGAGAAAACTATGATGAATAAAAATTTAAGTCTTGAAGCTTGAGCCTGCATTATTTTTAAAATGTTCTTAAATTTTAGCAATCGTGAGCCTCAATATTCTTATTTCTTTGCTTCTTTTGGAATTCCTGCGAAGGAGATGATGCAATCCATGACAGGCAAGGCACAGGAGGCAAGGTCATAAGGCAGTTGGCGAAGCAAGAGGTGGAGGATGGTGGAGGCGCGTGATAATATGCTGTTCTGATAAAACGTTTTTAGAACTGCTATGCTACCAATGGCTAGTTAGAGTGTATCTTTTGAACATCATCCATCATAACATGGCACAAATAAGAGCACAGCTATTTAGAGTATGGCACGACAGCTCAATCAGCTGGCCTATAATGCATCAGCGTCAACAATCACTTAGGCCATTACTGTTAAATGACAAGAGCCTCATCACACGCAGGTTTCCTGTTTTGATATGTAGACAAAGCTCATCCTATTTAGGTAAGGAAATGTTTTATTCTTGCTTCATTGTCAATTTCCAACTCAAATGTCAGGCGCCCATACAATTTCAACTTTTACCTTCCACAACTGTTGATGCATAGTTTTTTATGGCATGAGAGTTGAAGAATTAGAAATTGACGTTTTCATATTGTTTGTAGATGAGGCGAAAAAACGGCAAATAAAGATTTCAAATGATATGAAGAATGAGTAAGTATGTTTTTAAACTGTTTTCAGTGACATTTTTGAGAAGTTGATATTTAAAAATTTGCACAGCTTCTTGGAGATGCGCAGTTTCTTGGAACTTATTTTGTCGTCAGTTTCGTTGTTGTGCTCCTTTTTCAATAAACCACGTTTTAATATAGCCATTGGATGATAAAAAGTATGGACATGGCTCATCAAATGTATCTGTCAATCCACAACTAAGGTCATTGCCTTGGAACTTGTTATGCACCACAACAAGTTCCACTGCAACAACAAGGCTTGGACTGGGAGACAATAAAGAATAAGTAAGGAGACAAAACTGTCCAAAATCTTCAAAGTCGTCATATTTTCTTCAGAATTTTTCCATATCCTCAGAAGTTAAACAGCGTAGCTGAAGATGGTGGTAACCATTGTAAAAGGCCGCTATATTTCCAGCCCAGCAATCGCTGCCACTTGTTTTAACATGGCAATAAGGAATTTGAAAATGTGGATTTTCAACAGCTACCTTGACAATTCCCTTGTCTAAAATCTAAGCCTCAATTACCTGAAACAGCCGTACAAAAGACCTCATTGTGAATCCGTGACAATATTGTCTTGGATAGGTGTTTACACTGTCCCATTCCAAAAACGGAACCGTGATGGTACAAAATTTGTTTGCTTTCATAGCAGGAACAAAAACGTTCCGGATAACAGAGCAAAATTGTCTCAGTTTCACAGTGATAGTGTAAACGGAAGAGTGAACTGTGACACTTTTGTCATGATTCCAACCAGGGCGTTTTGACGGCCAAATTCCTCTATTCTGGCCGTTTTTCAAAGCTGTTGGCCATCCAAAATTGATTTGGCCAAAAAATTAAAAGTTGGCCGAATTTTAGCCGCATGTCGAAAGCCACAAAAATACAAATAAAACAACATTTTTTGCACAGAAAATAATCAATATTTTGTTAGAACAATCTCAAAATTGCAAATAACGGAGCAAGAAACAAAGTAAAAGATAACAGAAAATTGAAATTGAAAGCAAATTGGAGCTTTTGTAACAAGCAAAGCCAATTTTGATTACACTATTACTCTAAAGACTTAGCCAAAATGTAGCTTTTTTGTATATTTTGTTTAGCTGGCCGAATTTGGCCGTCACGCGTAAAATATTTGGCCTCCAACGATTCCAAGCATCTTGCAACCCTGATTCCAACCTTGCATGGGACAGTGTAAATAGGTTCTCTGTCTTGGGCCTCCACTTTTTTCATTATAAAAATGATCTAATCTTAGGAGTCAAGTAATTTTTTATCTGTTGGTTAATTAAAATCATTTTCTTTGAATCTGCAATTTCAAACACCTACAAAAAGTGGTTTATTGAAGCAGAAAATTATTAAATGCTAATAAGCTTGCTTAACATGTAGAAAAAGTTAACTATCAGTCTTTAATACCTGCGAAGTTCTTTAATGAAACAGTAAGCATAAGGATTGGTCATTGGAATGTAAAATAGACTAAGAAATAATTGATAAGGAGCATGTCAAGATGAATTCTTCTGTGTAGAGTGCTTTTATGATATAACACTTTTTATTATACATAGGTTTCAAGATGAAAGTAGATTTTTGCAATAGAAAATGGAAATTTTCCTGTCACATGTCAATCTACCTTCCAATGTAGCAAATCCTTTAGATACACTGGTCTCTTAGATACACTGGATATTTTCCTGAAACAACATTCCTCAAAATGTTATGCAATCTTGTGCTGTGATTTATATTATTTATCCACAAAATTTGTATAATCTTTTTGTTAAAGTTATTGTTCTGTCATCCTCTGAGACTTCTTGGTTGGTTTGTAGGGTTTTGAAATAATAAAATTCAGAAAATGCAACTGTGCTCAGTGGCGGATCCAGCCAAAAATCTGACTACCGCCGAAATGAGATAGAGGGTTGACCACACCCTTAAGACCGACCACACCCATTTTTTGATCACAACCGGTTTTCTAAAATGATTATTCTTTCTATAATTTCTTATGTAGAACATTTTCAAGAGACAAGTGGTGCTTTACTGAAATTATGTATCCTTACAACAAGATTGAGAAGAAATAAATAATCTTACTCGATATGGATGGATATTCTGAAAAAATTTACGGCATTTAGCCGAGGAACACCATAGAATTAGAAAAAAAGATACATTTGGCAGAATTTTGAAGTGTTGCCTGAAACTCGCATTTAGTCGCACAATTACTTATGAAAATCAGACCTGTTGGTAATTATAAGTTTAAAAAGCCAGATAAAATTTGCAGTTATTGAGAGCAACTTTTGTTAAACAAAGAATCATACTTTTGGCGAACATTGTGGGCCTGACTTTTAATCCTGATGCCTTCTTAAATTTTAGAATATTCGAGTCTTAATATTCTTATGAAATATATTCCTACGAATAGTTGTGTATTGTACAAAATAATGGGTCACATCGGCTTTGAAGTTACAGTTTGCCCACTTGCAGAATATGCAGGCATCCCCCCATCTTTCTGTAACGTTTGAGTCGTGTTGAGCGGCAGTACTACTCAATCCCCCATCTGAGCGGTAGTCAATTCGGTTGTTCATTGGTTGTCAACAAAATTTGTATGCATCCCCCCAGGTTGGCTGTGATTTCTTTTGATTCGATTGGTTTAGGCAGGCTGACTACCGCTCAGTGCAGCTCAAATCCGCTCTACACCGACTCAACCCCCCTAGCTAGCAAGCCATGATTTCACCATCGTTCTATTTGCAAACATGTGGCTCGGCAATTGGCACGCAATTTCCATAGCGATAAGGATTAAAAAATATTTCTGTTTCTGTGGAAATTTCAGGCATGTTCCTAGGAAAAAAGGCTTGGTTTGCAGCGCGATCAAATATTTTCAATAATTAAATAAGGTTTAATTAAAGTAGTAGGATAAACATGAAAATGATCCTTGTTTCTATAATTTTTTGAATAATCTGACTACCGCTCGAGCGGTAATGGCGGTAGTCTGGATCCGCCACTGGTGCTAAGCTGAACAGAACTGGATATTTAGTGTATTTAGTGTAGTGTATTATGTATGCATACTAACCATAAGAAAACCCCTTGAAAGTTTGAGAAAAACCTTGTGGAATTACCTGTTTTTCTTAAAAGAAGTCCTTTAAAGGCCCTGTTACAAGAATGATATTCTGCAAGATTACTATTTAAGCACAACAATTCATTCTTTTAACATTCCTTGTATTCTGATGAAGAATTTTTCAAAGAATAATTCATTTGCATCATCTTCCAGTTGTTTGAATATTCTTGTCAAGGTTAATTAATTCAAGCTAGTTTGATTTTAATCCTGGTTTGAAGAATATTCAGACAATTGAAATGGGGATGTGTACGGATGTGAACTTGTGTTACTGGGGCATAAGACTTGCTGCCTAAAGAGATCTTGGAGTTTTAAAAATCTCCCTATCCTTTTTTAATGCAGGTGTAGTTGAGAAAAAGGAACAATCTTACTGCTAACCTATCACTAGGCTATATGCTTTAAGAAATATACTTTACTTTATCTTGAAACATTAAGCTCACAATAAGATTTCTTTATTTACAGATATATGCCCAAAAGACTGGGCTTCCTGAGGCAGAATCTCTCATCAAGAAATAGCAGCTTTTTAACAACAAACTGCACAATGTTTCATCAACCTTTATCTGAATTCAGAGTTGTACATGCTAGTTTTCATACAAGTGCTTTACTTAATGAAATAATTGATGAAAGAAAAATAATGCTAGATGATAAGTCAAAAGTTGAAGAGTATATAGAGCATCAGAGAAAAAAACGTCAAACAAATCAAGAAAAGATGCAACTAATTGAAGAGAAACTGCAAGAAGCATTTATTTACAAACCAGAAAAGCCCAAAGACGCCTTAGATGTCCGGGAGAAATTATCAATCAAGGACAAAATTATGAAAGAAGTGATGCACTATTATGATGGATTTAAGTTATTATATTTAGATACAAGAGTTGCTGCAAAGCTTTTGTGGCGAGTGTTGAATGGGGAAGTACTGCTTAGAAGAGAGAGGAGGCAGGTGGGTATTTTTAGTCACTATATGTTTTGAATAATTTCACATGACAATCAATGATTTGACTTCTTTAACAGTAAATTAATAATAAGGCAGATTCATTTAAATTATTATGCTTATATACATTTTTAGTTACAGCACTATTTGGGGAGGCGCCTATTTGAGTGGGGCGCCAATTTGAGTGGGGCGCCTTTTTAAAGAGGGTGGTATTTCCAAATTAGTAGAAATCCATAGAAAAATCTGCAAGAAATTTTGCACAAGGAACTGATAGCCAAAAAGAGATGCCAACACATGGACATTACTGTAAAGAAATTTGAATGAAAGATCAAAGTTTACTTTTTCTGCATTAATTCAAAGTTTTTGCGTTGAATGTGCAGGAGAAGGGGGCTACTTTTCATACTTTCATTGAAGTAAGTGTAATAATGGTGGTCTCAGCTGTTTTTCCAAAAAAAATTTAATACAATCCAACTTAAAGAAAAAGCAATAAAAAATTTATTGTTTTGTAAGCTCTGCAAGAGGCCCTTATTTGGAACTTTGGCTTCTTTAGGGGCTGCCTATTTGTGGGAGGTTCTTATTTGAGTGGGCATTTAATCAAGGAAGTACAGTGTTTTAAACAAATAAAGCAAAACTTTTTTGAATATTTAACAAACCTTTTCTGAATATTTTTGTAAACTACAACATGAAGTATTCATAAGGATCCAAAGTTAAAGAGATATGGTCTAGACTCTAGAATTATGTGGCCTGTTCTTAGATTAAGATGCCTGTGTTGTGAATGTAATGCATCATTGCATATATTGCTGGCATTTTGCATTTGTATATTTTAGGTACAGTCATGAGACTCAGCTTTATTTTGTTGTTAAACATTATTGCATATACAATTTTGTGGTTTATTATGTATTTTCTGTGAACCTATAGGCAACAAAATAGAAAAACTATGTGGCATTTTATTTGTATGTAAACAAAAGCAACAGAAAGTTATTTTTGACCATTTTGAGCTATCAAAAGGCAAAAAAGACTAGCACAAAATTGATATAGAACCACTCATATATCACTGATCTAGCAGCGGATAATAATGTAAATTCAAAATTTTGAACAACCTTATGACAAATGTTTACATTTCATTCTAGTTTCGTCGAACTGTTGCTGATCTTTTGCGCCTAGTACCATTCATGGTGTTTTTGATAATTCCTTTTATGGAGTTCTTGCTCCCTGTAGCTATCAAATTATTTCCAAACATGCTCCCAAGTACATTCGAGGACAAGTCTAAAAAGGTATGCTCAGTTTAGTGTTTGTAATTTTCTTCAACTTGTTCCTTTTGTGTATCCATAGAAAAAGGTTGTGGTTGTTTTTTTAAACACCTCCTTCCTTCCTTCATTCCTCCTTTCCTTCTTTCTTTCCTTTATTTCTGATGAAAATGCAACTTTTTTACAAGCTTCATTGTTGTGATAGCTGTTACAAATTTAGACTTTTTCATTAGAATTTGTGGTTTTTTTATGTTAGGAGGAAGCTCGCAAAAAGTCCTTGAAGTTGAAACTTTCAATGGCTCAGTTTTTGCAAGATACAATTGAAGAATTGGAAGTAAGTACAAAGACAAAAAAATCAGAAAAGAGACTGAAGGAGTTTGCAAACTTTGTTCAACGGGTAAGTTGAAGCATTCAAACTTATTTAGAAAAAGCCTTTTATTCTATAACAACATCAGATTTGTTTCTTGGTTACATAACGTTTTCAGATTTGTGCCTTGATTTGGTAGCTGAATATATCATGTTCTATTTGTTTTAGATAAGATCTGAAGGAGAGCAGCCATCAAATGATGAAATAATCAGATACTCGAAACTTTTTGAGGACGAGATAACACTTGAGAATTTGACTCATCCACAGTTAAAAGCATTGTGTCGTCTTTTGATGATGTCTGCTGTTGGTACTAGCAACTATTTGAGATTTACGCTGAAGATGAAGCTACAAGAACTAAAAGCGGATGACAAGGTACTTCAAATCCAACTTTTTGCCATTTGAAACCCCTTTTACTCTGTAAATGTATGATCCCTCTTGATAACTGTTAAAGGAGCCTTATGATTTGTTTGTTTAAATACTGCAAAAACATAAGCTTTTCATATTAAAATTTTTTTGAAAATGACAAGATATAGCTGAAACATACCCCATATACTTTTTATCCGACACAACATCTTTAATCAAGCAGCGTACAAATTTAGGCTTCATTTGAATAGACTCATTTTTTGATTCAACTAATTCAATGCAACAGCTTGAAAAGTGTCAGCTGATCCTCTGATAGATGCCTTGAAACTTTTGAAAACTGTATTAATTAACTGGTTTTAGAATAGATGTTATTAATTCGGAAGGATTGGATTTACCGCAATTAGCAGTGCTACATTCAATCCGATGGTTTGTTAACATGAAATCACAGTTAAATAAGTTTTTGTTTTGTTATCTTAGGCTCTGCCATGATTAATAGCGCCTAAGATGGAATTTAGAAGTTAGACTTATAGTGACATCTACCTCGTTCCTTCTTGATATCTATTCTTATATGATATTGTTCTATTCTTAATATGACTTTTGATAATCACGAATAAATGAATAAATGAATAACTTCGTTTACAGTTGATTCGTAAAGAAGGGCTCGATAAACTGAGCACGGCAGAGCTGCAACAGGCCTGTGTTAGCCGAGGTATGCGTGGAGTGGGGGTGCCTGTCGAAAGACTGAAATCACAGCTCAAGCAGGTGACATCTGTTAATTACATGTGCTTTTGGAATCATAATTCAATATTACCCCTTTAAGGTGGATTATTAAACGAGGCCTTTATAATACCGTGGACAGAGTCATCTAATGGCATTGAGAAAGAGTTAGTACTTACTTTGTTACTGTGGAAAGCCTAGTAAAATTATATAGGTTAGGGTTGGATATTATAGGATTTGGGTTTAGGACCGGATGCCGTCAGAGTCGAAATTGAGCGTATTGAAATAACTACGTTTCTGGTCTGAGTATGAACCATTGAAGATTATAAAAGATTATTGTACTTTTGTAAATATAGTAGACTAATCTGTCTATGACTTTTGTGATGTTTCTAAAAATTTGACATTCAAAGCAACTTGATCTTTTCTGTAGTGGCTAGAACTGAGTTTGAATGAAGAGGTTCCAGCAACTTTGCTGCTTCTCTCAAGATTGTTATACATTTCTGACCATCTGACAAGCACCGATCAACTTAAAGTTACCCTGTCACAGCTTCCCGAAAGAGTGGTATGTACTTTGACTTCCTCAAAGTTTTTCTTTTTTATTTCACTATACGTAGTTTTGGTCTTGTTTTTGGTCAATGTTTGCTGATATTTAGACGCGTTTTAAGCTCTTACCTTGTTAATGGGTTTGTAAAGCTTCGTGCAAAGCTTCGAACTAAATGAAAAATTATAGCAGCCTGGCAAGGAAATATATCCTTCACTAACAATCTTTTGGTGGTACAAAACTTAAAAATGTCTTTGATAAAAGCAAAAATTTGAGAATTCTGAGGCTCAGAACATCTTTTCCCTGAATATCCTCCACTCTGAATTATTTTTTCCACCATATTCTGTATAAAACACAGCGTTACAACTTATAGACATCTTTTCCCTATCTCTGTGATAATGAGAGTTGCTAGACAGGTCAATCAGAATTAATTATGATTAACCAAAGTGCCAATTATTTTTGTTTTTTTCGACAAACTTTCTCTGTCCTCTATTTTAATCACGTCTTTCAAATCGCTGTCTTTTTAAGTGAAGAGAATCTTCCCCAGATCAGCATTTGTCAAGGGCTCAAGAGCTCAGTCAAGAGTTTTTCATCGTAGGTTGATGAAATGGAAATCAAAATTGGAAACATTGAGGGTGAACAGGTCAACAGGAGAACTCGTATCGACATTTTGACAGATGAGGAAGAAAAGATAAGACTTGAACGTGAGCAGCTTGAAAATGAAAAACAGAAGAAAGAAGTAAGGGTGGCAATAGCTTGTTAACTGAGCATTCCTTTGTTTTTTTACTGCCTTCGCACAGCTCTCTCACTTACACTTATCATGACAGATAAAGTGATGCAAAGATTTTTTATTGAGAATCGTATGTCTGATATCTTGTTGTAAGTCAATTTAGATTAATGCTTTGGTGTATACTATGATGTCCATAATGCTATGATGGACGGTTCTAAGTTGCATCTCGAGTTTCACGCTTAATATGATCATGGGCTACTGTTTGTCAGTTCAGGTTAATTCAATCTACATCATTTTATCTTGCATTTCCATTGATGACAGAAATGATGTCCCTCTTCATTTGATTCTTGTAGTTGTTCTAAAAAGTGTCTCTTTTTAATGAAATTATACTTTTTATTTGCAGAAGGAAAGAGTTTTGGCTGAAGAATTAAAGGTAAATAGCTAAAGAAGTATACTTTTCAACTGAAATGTGTTTTTCAATTCTCATTCTGTTTCTGTTATTAAGGCTTGTAGCGATTGCACAAGATAGTTTTTCATTGCTTCATCTGCGAGTTGAACTGTACCAAAAATAGCTTATATGAACTGATTAGTTTCGAGCTGTCGATCGAAACTTTGAAGATATATAAACATCTAGTTTTAATGTTCTGACTGAAATAAGGTTTTTTATCTTATCTAGGACAAGGCAGCGTTATTCCAGGACACTTTGGTAAATTTGAAGGGAACCCTGTCAAGCGATCGCGATGAACTGAATATTTTAAAAGAAGAAAGAAAAGACTACCAGGAGGTATGTGTGTTGTTTCTTGCTTTCATGGGTGTTTTGCATTTCTGTTTATTAATGTAATAGGCTTCTTACCTTTCGGGTACCATTTCAAATGAAAATGTACCACAAACGTCATTCCATTCCGCAAAGGATTTATTCAGTTTGAACTGGTGGTCAATGCGTTGCATATGATCTAGAATCAATATCAATAAAGTTTGTAAATTTTGATTTGTTGGTGCTAAACCTCAAAATTCATATGTGCCTATTTTGCTAAATCCTCTTCGCATTTACGTTTTCAACAAGTCCTTATCAGTTATCATATCTTTATTTTGTGCAAAAATATGCCCAAATGTGTGTCAACATGGCATTCTGGCTCACTGTGCATGCCTGAAACACAAAAGCATCAATAACCTATTTTTTTCTTGGATAGGGCTTGAAGGAACTTGCAAAAGAAGCACTGGAAGAAGACATATCGGAATCGGCTGCAGGCTCGAGACTTGGCAAGCGCCTTGATGACATGATTGAAGCAATCCATGAAGGTCTCGATGAGTTGGAAGACGATTCCAAAGAAGTGGTGCCAGAGATTGATGCTGACAGGTAGGAATGCGTGTCATAGAATTTCGCTTTGATTTTATTGTAACTGGCAGTTGTTCGTAGGTCTGAGTAAGATGGTGCTCGTCAGATTCAAGTACGCCATGCTAGGTCACGTGAGATGGTGAAGTGGAGATATGACTATGAATGTACAATAGGTGTCATTTCATTAACTGATGACGGCAATTTGGCTGTCCTACGCTATTCAACTGGCCTCTTTCATTTAAAGCATTTCATTTTACAACGTTGATTCTCAATACACTTCATTTGATGAACATCTTTTAGACATCTTTTCAGCTTGAGGAACTGCTGCTATTCTTAATTATTTAAGCTTTTACTTGTTACCGTAGAACTTTTCAGATTCCCCAATACATATTCAACATCTTTTAAATGTTTGGTAACAACATTTGATCTCACCCTTTTCATTTTCAATTTTAATTTTTAAAATATGAGTAAATTCTGAAATGTGATAATTCAAATAAGCAAGTAAATTGCACTGTACTGAGGAAATAAAAACAATCGTTTTGCTCTTTGTGTTGCATCTATGAACTATCTTGCACAGCTGTGCCATAAATGTTTTTAGGCCGTTGTAATACCAGGTTTTGTTTCCTTCATCGACAGAGATGGCAAGATCACAACGCAAGAATTGCTAGTAGCGTTGCGAAAGAACGATGGGCTCACAGAAGAAAAGGCCCTTCAATTGTGCCAAGTCCTTGACATTGACAATGATGGAACTCTTGACCTTGATGAACTGAAAAGGGTGAGAAATTCGTATCGATATTTCAACTTTACAGTCGACTCCCCTTTTAGTCACTTCGCTAAAAGTCACACTACCGTTTGCAGTCACTTAACATTTCAACCCATTATGTAAAACCATTCAATTTAGCTCCGTTTACAGTCGCAAGTTTTTAAGCAACATTGGGTGTGACTATATCAGGAGTCTACTGTATAGTTTAACGGGAAATTTTTTTGCATATTTTTTCATTGAAAATTACGAGAAAACTTTTACATCGTTCTCCTTTACAACTATGATTGTGGGAAGACAGTGCTTGTGACTTCCCACAATCAATGTTGTAAGAAAACGTTGAAATTTTGCAACTCAAACTCGGTTACTTGAGACGCAATTTTTCCTAGGTTCACGAAATTTTATGAGTGCGAAACTCCTTGGAATACGAAACTGCAGAATGGGTTGAATTGGGGTGCCTAAATTTATACCTATTTCAAAGAGGTCTTTTAGCTTAGAGTTTAAAGATTCTATCAATGGACGTTCATGATGTAATCATTTTGTCTCTCCATGGGACAACTGAGTTTAAACCCATTAACTTGTAAAGCTATTTGAAGCCATTGTCGCTTGCACTTAAGCGAACAGTAACAATGGGAGGGTATATTTAAAGGCCGTGTCTCGATTGATAACTTCTTGCTAAACAAGACATTCCCTCTTTTCTTGACAATTCTCTTTATCGCTTATCCCAAGGTTCGTTTGCATTTGTTCCAGGATATAGAATCCGCTGTGTTTGTTTGTAGGTCGTTGAGCTGATAGAAAGAGAGGATATGAAGATTTCAGACGAACAAGTAGCCGAATTGTTAATGCATATCAAACGAGGAGAGGACATTGTCACTATTGAGCAAATGCTGGCAAAAGAAAAGAGCAATGCAATCCTGCGATTTGTCCGTTCCGCATATAACAAGCGCAAAGTCTCTAAACGCTAGGTAGCCTTTTGGTTACGCCCTTCATTAAAACATATACACAAGCAGACACATCTTAAATGAATAAACTGAATGGCGTATGTAGGGGTGTGTGTATCTGAAGTTTTGTTGCTGGATCTTGTTTAAATCTTTTAGATATCGTGTTGGAAAAAAAAATAAAAGTATTCAACGACAGGTTTTTTGTACAAGTGAGTACACGTTGCTGTTTCACATGCAATAGAACGGAGATCGTATTAAGCACGTACTTTAAGAAATCTGTTAATAAAGTATAGTATATTCGTGAGCAGGATGCGGGAACACTAGCTTAACTTCGGTGTCCACTCACAACAAGTCTCGTACAGCGAAATACTCAACGCTAATTAATTGTTCTATCCTTGCATACATTGTCGGTTATTCTAACTGATATTCCCGAGAATAGTGTCTCCGTGTGAAACCAAGACATAAACTTACTGCCTAACATTTAGTGAGACCCCACCCTTATTCTCTGCACCCAATCGCAACTAATACTAGCAAAATTACCGGACCTGTAAATGTTGGCCCTGCTATGCTACCCATACCTTGTTACTCGTAGTCAGATGGGTCAAGTGATACCTGCTTTGTTCGATTTCCTTCTCGTTATTGCTGAAATTTTTCTTGCTCTTAGAATTGTACGTAAATTAGAATTTCACGTCCTTGGAAGAGGTTTTTAGTGCATTCACTCTGCTTTTGGTAGCTCTAGAACATGTTTTTTTTAAATTAGCTAACATTGGTGAAGAATACCTCTGACTAGACTTTAGTTTGCTTGTCTTCTTCCGAATTGTCTTTTGCGAAGACCGGTGAATATACCAGAAATTAACTATCAAGTATGAAACATCAATTTTTTCACACGCTCAAATGAGCTTAAATTTTTGAAAAGTATTTGCTAAACTTCATTTCATTGAATTAAACATAAAGTTACATTTAGTGACTTGACAGCTAAATGACAAAACTAAACGAATTTTTGCAGTGAACCTTCCATATAGAGGGTACCTTGGCTTGATGTGTCCGTTGTTTTAAGGTGTCCGTTGTTTTAAGGCGTCCGTTGTTTAAAGTTGCCCATTGATTGGAGGTGTCCATTGTTGAAGATATTCGTCGTTTGTGTCCGCCATTCGATGTTGTCCATTGTTTTAAAGGCGTCCATTCTTTGAAGGTATCTTTTGTTCGGAGGTATAAGTTGTTTGGAGGTGTCCATTGTTTAGAGGTGTCCGTTTTGTTTAGAGGTGTCCGGTTATTCGATGTGTCCACTGCACAGTCTTTTACTGACGGCGATCTGTGAAGTATGTTGATTCTCGGCAACATTTTCAGCTAACTTTGACTAAACCGAAAAAAAATAAAGAGTAAAACCATCGAAAGTTGAGGGAGGCGATTTTCTCATCGAAGGGTTATCAGAGGTTTACCAATATCAGAGGTTAATATTGGGGGAAGACAATGCAGGGGTTCTGCGGCCTTCGGGATTGATAATTGATAATTCTTAGAATGATATTCTCAAGAGATTTGTATCAGGAAAGCACTTGTTGGCAATGGCGGCGCCAGCCACTAAGCCCTGGGGGGACAAACCAAACAATTTAAGCCACGCCCTTTTAACCACCAGAAAACGCCCTTTTACCAACATGGAACGCCAAATTTATCTGATGAGAACGCCCATGACAAACTTTGTTTGAAAATTGACAGTATGAAAATCATAGGATTACATCACAAAAAGCACGGTGTCAAAATATTACCCCTCCCCCAACATTTTCTTATTGAATTTAGAAGAAATACAAAATCGATTCTGCTGAGACCCCCCCCCACCCCGCGTAAGGGGCGTAACTTGGCCAATAGTTTTGGGGGGCTGAAAAGGGTTTCTGCCCTGCAAAACTGAGTGGTGCCCTGCAGACCTCGTACCAACGGTTTGTCTATAGGTTACTAGTGAAAGCTTTACCAGTGTACACTGGTCTTTACCAAGGACAAACTTCTAAGCAATAAAAACAAACTTGAAACTTCATTGCCTATGAAATTTATATTTCTCTACGTGAGCGTAAATTGTTTTTTTATATTCACTTCGTTTAATGTTGGTTTGCAAAATTAAGCTAATAAACAGCTAATTGCGGGGGGGGGTGGGTACATGATGTAGACAGCGCAACGAAATTTAACCCAGTGGGGCTAAGAGTCGAGTTTAGTGAGGTAGGAGGACCCACCATGGTTGGGTCCGACGTGAAGAAATTTTTTGAAATTATACCTTGTAAAAAGGGCTAAAAAGCATCTTTCAGACAAAAATTATAGCAAAATACTATTGTGCTAAAAGAACTGATTGTTTATTGAAAATATTATTGTTTATTGGGAAAAATAGGGAGGGGGATGTCATGCTCAAACTCTAGTGTTAGACGTTGGGGAAGGAAAGAAACGGCAACCTTTCGTTTCAGATTGCACGTAGTTGTGAATGACAGAGGAAGATGTTGTTTTGATTGGGAGAATTTTTTTTTCCTGAAAAGAAATGTGCAGTTTCTTGTATCAAGAAGGCCATGTTTACACATCCAAAATTAAAACATTGCAATGATACAAAAAATGATTTACTGAATTAATGCAAATAAAAGAAAAATAATAAAAATATACGTGAAAAAGTTAGCAATTAGATGAAACAAAATCGGTATCCTAACGATTTATTATGTTTTTTAGTTCATGCACTGTTAAAAAGTAATAGAAAAAATGATAAAAAATTCCTATCTTGACCAAAGTGAGGGACTTCAGCCCCTTATTCCTCCCCAGTGACGCCGTGCTTGTCATGAAAATAATTTACAACTTAAATTAATTTATATGGACTCAATCTTGCCCTCATAAACATATGCATCAATCATTGCATCTATTGGCTATGACTTTCGGTAAGGAATGCTTTCGCTTTGCTAATAACGGAGCTTTTCCTGACATGCCTGTTTCGTTCTCTAAAATGCAATGTCAGGAAGGGATGTTTATAACAAATATAATATTTTCATTTCAAAATTCGTGAACGGCCCTTTACGAACTTCAGAGGAGTCGTTTCTGCGTGGCAACAAAGCTCTTCTTAGCGCCCTGCGAAATCTTCGATTGCCCTGCGAAATCGACTATTTTTTGGATTGGGGGG